CCTCCCTCCCTCCCCCCCATATACTTAATGAGAAGGGGTAAGAATATTTTCATATTCCTGTAACTTCTTACCCATTTGAACATGTAGCTGGCTCGGATGCTCTTTGTTCTTCAATTGTTTACACATTTGAAAGATGCTGAGACCTTCAAGAGATGAAGCCAAGGGGAATTGAATGGGTTTCAGGGAGGATACCATTCTTAGAGGGATGGAAAGTAGTTGTTACAGATGGGAGTTAGTTCCTGAGAGATGGCTGTGGCCCAGCGAGCAAGCCAGCCTCCTCACCTGACTTGCCACTTCACCACGTGATCTCTCCCTCTGGCACACTTGCCTGTCTCTGCGAGGTCATCCCAGAGCCGAGCCAATATTCATGCTGTGACTTTGAGCCTCCAAAACTGTCCTAGAGAAAACTCTTTTCTTACATTACTTCATCTGAGTATCATTACAGTAGAAAATGGACTAGGGCCTGGGAGATGGCTTACTGAGTAAAGGTACCACCAAGCCAAAAGGTCCGAGTTTGATACCTGAGACCCATGTGGAGGAAGGAGAGAACTGGCTCCAACAGGTTGTCCTGGAACCTTCATGTTAGCACTTTCTACCAAAATAATAACTGAATCAAAATGAAAATAACAACCAAAAGAAAATAAATTAAATATTACTTTTTTTAAAAAATAAATAACTCAATAAAGTATTGGCTGTTTTAGGCAATACTCATATGTGTAGGCAAAAATGCCCTCAAGGACTATAATTCTGATTAGTTGTTTAACAGATTATTTCAGTTTCTGTTCTGTGGAAACTATAATGTATCTCCACAGAGGGCTTTATTGTATTTCTGGTTTTTTCCCCCTCTCATGTTGTTTATTGCTAAATGTAGTCATTTATGATGCTGATCTTGTGTTTTAACATAACAAAAAACCCAATAAGAGGTTAAAAAATTAACATGAAAAAAAATCAGAAATGAATCTCTTATTCACAAATAGAAAACGGGGTAGGTGGATAGGTGGACCTTTTCATGGCTGCCTTTAATAAACTAAATATATATATATCAAATTGGTGTTTTACAGAACTGCTCACAGAAATGGGCATGAGGGACCGTATGTACAATGCTAGTTCTTAGGCAGAAGAGGCACGGAGGATGAGAAGTTTGAGGCCAACCTGTCCTGGGCTACACAGAGAGTTCTAGGCCAGCCTAGATTACATCAGACTTCATGTCAAACAAAACAAAGCCAAGAAAGAAAAAGCAAGGCAGTAAAAGTTTTTCTCGGTTCTCGGGACTGCCGCCTAATGGACAACACAGAACTACAAGCTGGTGCTTTGGGAATCTTCCCCCAAGACCTTTGCAGTCAATATGGCTCTCAGCCTCAGATTTAACCCTCTCTCCATTATACAGGAATACTTCCCGCAAGTTGCTAGTAGTGGTCCAGGTAAAAACATTAAATTCATGCAACATAATTTATAGTGCAAGTCTAGGACTCAGGGGGCCGTTCTTATTCTACACTGCTAAACACGTACCTTGGGACCAGTCATTCTCCTTGACTCTCTCGTCTTTAACATGAGGGAGTAAACAGCATCTCTTGAGTAGCCCTCATTCCATGGCACCGTGGAATTTCTCACACTGAACAAGTTAGATATTTAGATTAAATGCCTCTAAGGAAAGCGAGTGTGTGTGTGTGTGTGTGGGGGGGGGGAAGCCAGGAGGGGCTGACTCAGCAAAAACCCAGCGGGTTTTCAGAAATCACACAGTCTGTAAGTTGACTTCCCTCTGTGGCAAAGCATTTGTTTTGAAGGTGTCTAGATAAATGTCAATCTTCAACGGCCGAGAGTGCTGGTGTCTGACATGGTAACTTGATCATAAATGGCATGGCTGGAACTTCACACATCCTGACAATTTCTGTTCAAAGTCCCCCTCTCCTCCAGGGGAACAGAGATGGGATGGAATAGTGAGAGCCACACAACTCTATCCAAATAGTGGGCAAGGAACATTGCTGAAGAAGTATGTGTTTCCTAAACTAAAGGTTTTGAAACTTAGAAGGTCAAAATAGGAATGATTTGGGGGCTTTGCATACATTGCTGACACAAGATTTCAGCATTGTTAACAGAGGCCATTCTGTGTAGCCCAGGCTGGCCTCCTACTCGGTGATCCTCCTAACTCAGCCTCCTGAGACTGGAATTATATAAGCATGCACCACTTGTAATGGTGTCTTGATTGTTTCCTTGTCTCAATACCATTATAAACAAGGAAAGCCAGACACAATAAGCTTATAGATTACATTCTAAAGTGTATTAGACCGAGGATTAGAACTGGGCTTTCGATTAGCATGGAATTAATTTATACATGTAAAGATAAGAAATATGACATTCACTGCTTATTTATTTATTTATTTAGCCAGACAGGGTTTCTCTGTGTAGGCACTCCTGGAACTCCAGCTCTGTAGACCAGGCTGGCCTTAAAGTGTGAGATCCACCTGCCTCTTTCTGCCTCCTAGCAGCTGGGATTAAAGATGTGCACCACGTGTCCGGCTTCATTGCTTCAGCCCCCATTCCAGGTGCATCAAGCACAGCAGTCACAGGCTTGATTGATGGAGAGGGACCTGACAGCACGAATGCATGAGTGACGTGTTTATATTTTTTGTTCCTCAGTA